TCAAGTGGCGCGGATGCGCAAAGGTAAAAAGTTGACAGGCTGCTGATTTGCTGTACTTTTTATAAACGCTTTTGTTGTTTCTACCGAAATATGTTTGTGTGATGTTTATATCTTATATGTGCTTGCGCTTGGTTGGCTGCCTTGTGTGCCCTTGCGGCAGTGCACCTGTTTTTTCGCCGGCGCTCGTGTTTCGCGCTGGCATTCAAATTTGTTGAAAAATCCAATTTCGTCGGAATTAGTTGCATTACCAATGTCAGCAACTAAATTACAAGTAGAAATATTTATAAAAAATTTGCATGCTATTTTCTCTGCTGTCCTTTTGGCTTCACTCCCGCTGCTGTTGCTGTTGCTATTGCTGTCAACGTTGATGAACTTATTGCCGTTTTTGTACCCGTTGGTACGTGGCCAAAAGGCCAATTGCAATTTAATGTGACACTAAACCGTACATGGGGCCAGGAATGAAAGGAAATGCCGTCGTTGAAGCATAAACACTTTAAGTCGAGAATTTCGATATTTAATTTTTTATGCCGAAATTTATTTATTAACTCAAATTTTAAATTTTTATGTCTAGTTTTAAAGTTTCTATATATTGTATATATGTACAGTATATTTAAATATTATTAAAAACATATTTTCACAAAAAAAATATCTTATTAAAAGAGCATTGGTTGCTGAATTAATAAAGTAATGCTATCTATAATACCAGAAAGTATATATTTTTTTGGTATTTATGTATATGTTTTTGTATAAGTTTAAAGCCTTGACTCCATACAAATTCATCAATTAAATTTTTTTTTTTCACAAATTTTTTAAAGGCTCCCGTGGATCCTGATATGTATAAATAAGCAAAGGTGACAGGCTGACTGCTGAATATTGCTTTTATTTTATAAAAATATGTATTATATATTTTACAGTTATTTCCGTATAAAAAACATATTTCTGTTACGTAAGCACGACTAAGTTTTAGAATCTCGGCCAAATAAAGCGAATATAAAAATCGTATATGATAAAATTTCTCCATATAAATAACTTCAGTTACATAAAATGCAACTCAAATGCAACAAGAACTGCTGCAAGTCCATAAATTATGCAATAGAAGCAATTTAAAGAGTTCCACTGGACAGAGTTGATGCCTCTGTTAGTTTTTAAACAGAACTCACAGTGGCGCATAGCAAATAAATGCAATAATATTATGTTGCACAGTGTGTGGGCACAGTTGGTTAGACCGTAGGTACAAAATTTTGCATTAGATATACCAACAACAAAAACATACAAAACTAGCTATATAGAAGAGGAACTTCATGCATATTGTATGCAATCGTTGAAAAGGTGAAATGTATAGAGTGCAAACGGTGTGGAAAAGTGTCGCACACATGCATTTAAAGTAGGCATGAACTGATACACATGCATATCTCAAACACACACATTGCCACGCTTAGTTAGTAGTCGTGGCAATTGGCTATGCTGCAATTGGACTTTCTCAAATGTAGAAAATAAGTAAATAGTGAAGAAAACACACACACTCACACACACACTAACTTAAAATACACACGTTTTTCTGTACTCGAACGGTAGCTGTCTCTTTGACTTGGACTTGGACTTGAGGTGGACTTGGTACTTTGACTTTTGTTACTGTGCTGCGCTGCCTATTGCTGCCACAACGTTTGCTCGTCACTCAAAAGGGTTCGTAGGCACGTTGGAAAGGTGCCACAAATGCGCTTGTATCGCGCTTTGCCGCATCGTTGACAAAGTGTTGAGCGCTACAAAAACAGTGTGTGACCGCCAGCGCCTTTTTGTGGCAAGTTATTGGCTGTATAGGCTGTATACATACATATGCATGCTTTATCTTTTTTGCATACAATTTAAGTTTTTTCTTGCAAAAATGCAATACCGTGGTTGGCTTGGCGCTGTTGCAACTATGTTTCTCGTACCGTTAGTTCGTTAGTCAAGTGCAAGGCACAAATATTATTTATAAACTTGAAAATAGGCTATATAGTGCATTTATCAGTGGCAGTGGAGGAAGCGCGTGTCAAGCATGTTGACTGGAAAATGCTTGCAACATCGGTATATATATATATATATATAGAAGACATTTTGTAGCATATAAGTAAGTATATATGTTTGAGAATATGTAAATTCCATACATTGCGAAAATTGTTACACACTCCTAGTGTGAATTGTGCATTAAATGGGTGGCAAGATAGAGATCTGTGCGCGTTGACGCAACAAAAACGCCTAAAAACTTTCAAGGCGGAAGTAGAAGCGCTTTACTGGCAGTTGTTGTATACATGGTACAACACTAACGTTTTCGGTAAAAAAAAAAATATTTTTTCTATGCATAAATTTACTTAAAAGCGTTGATGTGATGCGCGTCTTATTAGGCTACCGGAAGCACGCAGCTAAGCCGACGCGCCAATCAGCCAGATTTTTCTTCATACAACTATATTTGTACATATGTACATATTTGTATGATTATTTATTAGCAGTCTGTTTGTCTGCGTGGATGAGTGGCTGCGCCCAAATGGGCTTTTTATTGCATTTAATATGATAATTGCACGCGTTTTGACTGGCCGCGCCGCCGCAGCAGTCATTGGAAGCAAGCAGAAGCGGAAAACATTACTGGTAAAAAAATTCTAAAACTTTTTCGTTTTTTTTATGGTAGGCATTTTGATTGTTTTTATTGTTGTTGTGCTGCCCCCATCGCGTAATTGCATATTAACTCCAATCAGCCGCGCACAATTGCCCGTTTGCGGCCATTCCGCGCGCCGTCCAATTGATATTGCAGACATTTCAGATAAATGTATAACAACAACAACAACAACAACCAAATGTAAAGTCGAAAAACAATGAATTGTAATTGTTTGCTGTGCCGCTTGGTTAACCGAAAATCAGCATTGAATCGCTGCGTCAACAACAACCAACCGGAGGAGTCGCAATAAGTGTCCCAACGGCCGGCCGTCCAATCAACCAGCCAACCAACAACACATATTGCTTATCCAATTACAATATAATATATATATGTATATACATAATATATATACATACGTATGTATATATATGCGTGTGTGTGTGGTTTGGTTGCTCTTCTCGCCGTCGTTTGACTTTTTCATTGTTATTGTCAATAGGTTTTGTTTTACTGACTACTTACTGCACACATACACACACACACGCACATGCGTTCACTAGCATCAGCTTTTGGCTCATCTGCGCGTTCTCTTTAATGGCGACAGCAGCGCACATTATTTTTAGCTTTTCGCATTTGTAGTATGTGTAACAAAAATAAAATAAAGTAAAATTTTGAAAAATAAATAAAAGAATTAAATTGTCAAATAATTTTTAATGATTCAATGTGCGCTTGTTGGCTCACTTCTGTTGAGGTTAGCTGCGGCGGTCAGCGTTTTGCGGAATTCATTAAAATTTTTTGTTTAAATTTTCTGTCAATTTTGTTACTGCTGTTTTTGTGTTTTCTTCCGTTCCTGTTGGAAATGGGAGAATTCGTAACTAATGGGTGCGTGAGTAATTGATGCGTACACTCGTTTACAAACACATGCTGATGAGTCCGTGTATATGTAAATGAAGTAACACAATTGTGAACCAATTGAATGGGAGGGGTTTAAGAGTGAGGCAAATGTGTTCAAAAATTGTTTGCAACTTTTTGATGAAAGCGTTTTGAAAATTTTAAAGTTCAATTTTGAGACTTCATGAATTTTCATCTTTGTTTCTAGCGTTAAAATAATTTCTAAATTAACAAAAATTTTTTTATAAATTGTAGAAAATTAATATAGAAAAATGAGGCTTTTTAATAAGCTTGAGCTTTTTCAAAGTCTAAGCAGCGACTTGTTGTCTTTCTAAATATTCTTAATGCGCTTTTAATAAACATATTTATGTAGCTTCAAATCTGATCTAATCAGTCGGAAATAGATCTTTGAATAATACTATATATGTGTAATGTCTTAGGAACTTTGCAATAATAAATATTCGAAAATATACATATATTTAGACAACAAATACCAAGTTTGTAATATCCTGAAGGAGTTTGAGTATAGCCATGCCCATTTCTCTGTCTGACTGTCCGTCTGTTGTTATACTTGTACGCATACTAATCTCTCAGTTTTTGAGACATCGGTCTGAAATTTTGCACACATCCATTAGTACTGTCGATATCGTACCACTATAAGATATAGATACCATACAAATTGAACCATTTTAATTGTTCAATTTCCTCTTATAAATATTTTTTATTTGTCCAGCTATCTGCTCGAAATTTGGTATAAATCATTGTTCAAGGCAACAGTACATTATCCAAAATAATTTTCAATATTTTTTTATATAATTATAATTGTTAACAATTGTGGCGAACCCAATTCTAGATGTATCAAAAAAATTCATCGAAGCACTGTCTAACTGTACATTTGTTGCACAATTTTTCTTTCATTAAATAAAAATTACGGTATTGAATAATATACTCTCAAATATTCATGGACATTTGGGAGACTCTCAATAATTTCATTTGAAAAATTGAATTTTGCTGAGGATGGTGAAAAATTTAAGAAAAAAAATGCTTAGTATATGTAGGTGTGTATCTAGTCTTTTTACATAAACATATGTACATACTTTATTATCATGATAATTTTTATTTTATGAAAAATATTAGTTTTGCTTCAATTGACTTTTGAAAACAACAATTGAAAAGTAAATATTTTTTTATTTATTTTTTTTAAATTTTAATCCAAGGACCGACTTTTAGGCTTCGAAAATAAACAGTTTAAAAAATAAAAATTAAGCAAGAAAAATAATTCACAAAACTTTCAATAGTGGAGTTTATAACAAAAAGTTATTGAAAAATTCCTAACGACTCCCCACCATTTTTTCTTTCCTACAACGCAACTTTTAACAAACACACTGCTATATATTCGCACAACCGTCGGCTTTTCACATACAATTCACCCACTTCGCTAATTTTTTGTGGTAATAAAATAATTAACAAAATCGCCACTTACCTCCGCCAAATCCCTGTCCTGGAAATAAGCCAGGCGGCCCGAATGGTGGCATTTGACGCGCACCCGGCCAAGGCACACCGCCGCCGATGCCGCCCCACGCCACCGCGGCTGCGGCCAGCGCGCTGAACGGTGTCGGCCGAATGGGTACATGACCAGAGGCAGCCAGTGCCGCTGGCGAGAGCAGATGCGGTGAGTTGGGCATATGAGCGCTAAGCGTTTCCGGTGATTTGCTGCTATCCATGCCATCCGGTGTGGAACGCGGCGAATCGTCCGCATTCATATCTTCAATATCCACTATCGAATCCTCCTCTTCATCATGTTCATGCTCACCGTCATGCTCGTGCTCATTGTAATCATCATCATACTCCAGCTCTGAGTCCACTGAGCTGCCCATAGGCGAGTGACGTTCATGTTTCGCCAGCAGCGCTGTGGCCGATGAGGAGGAGGACGTGTCCGCGCTGGGACCGCTCATATGGGCAGCGGGTGAGCCAAGGCGCGATGTTGCAGCATGGTGATGTTGTTGTTGTTGTGAGTTGTTGCTGCTGCCACACTCCGTGGTAACTAGATTAGTGGGCGCTTCCGCTGAGCTGCTACTCAATGTGTGACGTAAATGTGCCGCTGCGCCGTGCAAATGTGGCGCTGTGCCACTGTTGGCCGCTGCTGCGACCGCCGCCTGTTGTGCTGCAGCGGCGGCAGCCACTGCAGCGGCATGTTGTTGTTGCGCATGTGCGGCTGCTGCTGCGTGCAACAAATGCGCATGATGTGCCACGGCGGCGGAATGAAAGTGCGCGTGTGGATGCTGATGTGGCGGATGGCTGGCGGCGTGTGGCGCTAATTGTTGCGTGCCATGTGCGGCGGTAGGTGAGGCGGGTGAGGAGCCTGCCGGTGAAACAGGTGACAACGTGACGGCTGGTGTGTGGCTAGACAAATTGCGTGGTTCCATTTGCATGGCGTCCGCGCTATGAGTGCGTGAGGGGGACAAATTTGCCGCTGGTCGCGTATCGGCTAAGAGTGAAGCGACGCTGAAATTACTTAGACGCGAGCTCGTCTTATTCAGTTGATGCGGGTGACTATGCGTTGACTGTGTATGTAGCGGCAGCAATTGTTGCTGCAACGTTTGTTGTTGCTGATGTGTTAAGAGAAGTGTGGAAGGTGATGTGGGGCTGCTATTGCTACCGCTGCGATTGAGATTTGTATTATTGTTGTTGTTGTTAATGTTGCTGCCGCCGATTAGATGTGCGGGACTGACCACCAGCGTGCTGGGGCTGGTCATTGTCATGGTGGTGGTGATGGCGGCGGACGCTGTTTGCGGCGGTACCGTCGGGCTTGTCATGCTTGTGCGTAAACCAGTGACAGTCATTCCTGTGGATGACAGCTTTAACATGGGGCAGCGGGGTGGCGAGAATGTGACAGACGCTGGCGTTGTACTGATTTTACACAATATTAATTTTTAGTTGAATTTAATTTTTTTTAATATTATTTCTTACAAAAGTTAGCGGAAAACATATCACAGTGCACAGCTGTTTGGTTTTAAACACAACAACATATTTTCTGCCGTTTCAAACTCTGCGAAACGCTTGAGTGCGAGTAATGAAATTTGTTCAACACTGCTGTGCGCTTATTTTGCAATAATTTTTATTTATTTTAGTTTTTGGCTAACTTCAATTTTGTTCAATTTGTTTTAATTTATTATTTGTTTTTGTTTTTCGCTTTGTCACGCTCAAATTGGCTTGTCACCTTTGTTTATTCGCAAAATTTGTTGGCTTTCGACTAAAGCGCTTTAATTAATTTTTAATTAATGACTAATGCGACCGTGTGCGCGCGTTCTCATTAACGTAACAACAAAAACAAAAGCACAATGCATCAGTAGTCAGGACTTTAAAACCAGTTTTTATGAGTGTGTGTATGTATTTATTTTTAATTTTGTTTTTTTTTTTTTAGTTTGTAACACAATTCCGGCGTTTGCGATTTCTTATCAAACTCAAAAAATATTCAAAATTGTTTTCCATACATTTATTAATTAAATGATTTGTCACTGTTCAATCAAGCCTTTGGCTTTTTACTTTGATTTAGCGTAGCGGTAAAACATACGGTTGGCGAGCGTGTACAAACGAACGATATACTACGGACCTACACATCCGTTTGAGATCACGACTGGTCTACAACTGAATTATTTTCATACTCACAAATCCAAGTGCCTGAGCGTTGAGGCGTTTGTAGAAACAGAGCGAACGCGGTCGCTCCGCACAACATGCACACACACACACACACCAACACACTCTTCGCCAGACCGGTTTGCTGTGCGGCACATGCGGTGGTAGATCTGAGTAGCGTACGCTGCTGTGTATGAGCCTCCAAATAGGTGAGCAGTCAGCCAGCCAGGGAGCCAGCCATTCATGCAAGTCTTCGACGAGGGTGAAAGGCAGGCTGCTGGCCAGTTATATGTGGCTAAACGTCCATTCATTGAAACCCAGCGCTGAGGCATGCACTACCACCACCTATAACAGCAAACCCAACAACAACAACAGCCGCAGCAACAAGCACAGCGTCACTACTCATAGCAGCGCTGGCGTTGCGCTAATTTGTGAGTGCGAGCGTGTTGGCTATAGTTTTATAAGACGCTCGTATTCAGCACGACACTTGGACGTGAGCGCTAGAGTGTGTTGCTTCTAATTGGTTTATGCGTGCAATAACAAAAACAACGAAGTGTTACACTATTGCAATTAAAGCCATGGAGTATACAAAATAGTGTTTGAGGAGATGGGAAGAGGTGGTTTAGATAGCAAAGTTGCATATATATTTTTCGAGACGCGCACTTCTATTAGAAAACATTTGATTGGAAAATATAATTTATTTTGGTATTATACATTGTAAACGATTATTATTATAAATCAATGAAAATATTTTTTTAAAAATAAAATAAATGTTTTTAAGGAAATATACAAATGTGCACATTTTTGGTGACTAAAAAAAATTATTAGAAAACATACATATATACATATGTATTTCGTGCTATAATCATTATATACTTATGTACATTTATGGTATATAAAATATTGTAATTAACAAAAACCAAAAAAAAAACAACTGTGTTTTGACTGCCATTTAAAAATTGAAAATTATTTTAAAAAAAAATCTCAATAAACAATTTCCAAACAATTGTTTTATGACAGCTATTCGTCTGACCATCGAAAGTCGTTCGAAATACTTCTCAATAAAATAACAGTAATAAAACTACCAAGCAGCATAACAAATAAGCGGCAACAAATTAAAAGAAAAATTCATAATTTTTTATTGCTCTCACAATACTCCGCGCTCTTGCTATTCTTTTCACACCCATTAACTGCCATCCCTAAACTAATTGCACGTTCGCACGCGCTCTATTACACTCACTCACATATGCTATTCACAAGTTATTTTTTAAATCTATTTGTTTTTAATTTTTTTATTCCATTCAACAACTGTTTGTGTATCTATTGGATATTCATGCTTATAAAAAAGCAATTCCCCACTCGAGTCGCTCACTCACTCATTCACTCACTACCGTTGATGGCAGACAATTGGAAAAGCACACTGGTCACCGCCCCTTGTACTGTGCTCACGAAAATGCAGTCGCACTCACACACTCCAACTCATACACACTCATTTAACACATCCACAGTTGTGCTCACTCGGCTGCACTCAGCGCTGGAAGTGACTACTGATTTCCAGTGTGGTGTGCTGTGGTGAATTTGTATTACTTGGCTTTGGTTGCCTGCTTGTTTTTTTTTGTGTTGTATCTTTGCTCTCTAAAGGCGGAGAAATGTTGTCACCCAGCCATTTAAAAACGTCGATTGCTTCTAATTGCATTTATTGTCTCTGCAACCAATTTTTAGTTTATCTTTTTCGACAATACGCTACATATGTAAGTGCATAAATATATGTATACCCTGCAGGAAGTTGCAAATGGTGTAAATTTGTTTTTCATATGTTATATGAAATTTTAATAAGGGTCATATATACTTATGGTATAATTTTAATAGAAGGGAATATGTACTCATATATTTTGAAAATCAAAATACCCAAGTTCGTCGTAAAATAATTTAATTTATATAGCCAATGAATGAAGAATATTGCAAATTGTTTTTTTGGTGTATACTCGTATGTTGTTCGAAAAAAAAATTTATAAGTATATATAATCACACTTGCATACATTTGAGGGAATAAGGAAATGCTTAGATAATAATAAAATCTTGCTGTGATATTGTCATCATATCATAAAAAATATCAGATAAGTTTAGGGTAGAGAAACTTTTTACTACTGAAAATAATTGTTTTAGAAACATTTTGAATGATCTTAGTAACTTTTACATGTATTAGGATGTGGAATTTTTAACTAAAAAACAGGCTAAAAAATGTTAAGAACGTTAAAAATAACCGCTTTAAATTTAAGATGTCAATATCAATATTAAGAGGTGACTGTTCCTAACTTGCCATTTTCCATTTAAATGACGTGAAAAACAATTTTAAAAGTAAACTTAAAAGTTATTTTGGCAGGAAATTGAACGTTTTACTTTTTAGATGCAATAAGTGAACGAGAGTGGGAGCAGATCGCGAACAATTTCTCCCAGGTCGGAAATATCAGGGGGACGCGTTGCTTTGTAACAATTTATAAAGTACATTTATGTATATTATCAATAAATTGATGGATTAAGGGGTCCGCATCCTATATCCTTCCCGGGACGATTTTCTCTCTACGTCCCTGGATACAATAAATTTTATATTAATTAACTAATATGTGTTTTATTTGGTTTATCTTAGTTTATCTTTGGTACAGTTTATAATGGAGTTATTATATATATAATATCTTATAAGTGGCACGCTTAACCCTTATGTTAGTAACCAAATTGACCGACGTCTTTTAGCAACCGGGTACCCACGATCTGAGTATTGTTATTATTTTGTTTATTTTATTAAAAAAAAAATTTTCTAGAAAATTGTTTTCTTCAAATATTCACAGTCAGTGACAATTTAAAGAAAAAATTAATAAAAATAACAACGTCGAATAAAAAAAATTAAAAAAATTAAAAAATTAGCTCACAAATAGCTTTCTTTTAAGTTAAAAAACGACGATTTGAGAGCGTAAAATGAAATATTGAATTTTTTTTAAGCTATTCACACAAATAAACCGCAGTGGGTACTCGGGTCCCCGGTAACTAACATAAGGGTTAATGTGAAATTTTTAAAAAATATTTTTTTTTCTAATTTTTTGCATATTTTGTTAGTCTTTAACTTGAAATATACCTTACCAAATTTTTAAATTAATATTTCAAATAGTTTTTGAGTTACAAGCTTCTAAAGTGTAAGCGCTAAGTTCAATCAGCTCCACCAGCATCGACAACGACAAAAGATCCGATTACAATAAAATTTGTTTCATTATAGGTATATGTAGTTCTCCGGAAAAAGCAGACCAAAAACGTTCAAAATTTTGTTTTTAATAGAATTTTCTTTAGAAATGCCGCCATTTTCTAAATTTTTTTGTCTTTTTTTCGATCATTGTAATTGTACGCACAATATCCTCTAATAGAGAATTTGCTTTTTTTAAGTTTCCTCCACAGATGAGGACGAAATAATGGCAGCAGTGTAGCACATTTTTTTAGCGCCGTCGGAGATCGCATGTAACTGTAAAAATTTTTATGAATTTTTTTCTTTAAAAAATTTGCTGTGTTTTCTTAAAATTACATATTTAATTAAACCCTTAAAAGTTTATGATTTATTTTATTTTATATTATTTTATGTATATTTACATTATATTATTTTTTAGAAATTTTACAAATTTATATGTGTGTAGATATGTACTTTTGAGATTTTCTAAGAACTAATCGTGTTAATTACCTAACAGAAAATACAAATTTAACTTTAAGAAAATAAAAACTATTATACAATCATCCACATATTCGGCACTTAAAGCCTACTCGCATCGTATATGATTTACAGGCACTAAACTGTTGTTAGTATAGCCTTCTCAACAGAACACCAACAAATAACTCATTACATTAACGTGGCATGCAACGGAACAGCAGCTGCAGCAATGGGAAAAATGCAACAGTTCCTTGTTCATTTAAGACAATAATGTTAAATATTTATTTACTATTTATCTTTTTTTTTATTTAATGCCACACATTCTTAACCGCTCTATCAAAATGCGCGCCAACCGCAAACAAACTCCGAGCTCTGCGCTGCAGCTATCTCTTTCTCTTTCCTTGCGGCGCGTCACAGGGCAATTTGTTTTGCATTTGATGGCTTGTTTGCTAACAAAGTTATTTATTTCGTTTTCATAAACGTCGCTGATCATACATAGGTATTGCGTATATATGTAAACATGAATACATATGCATTTGTAAGTATTTACATATACACACATGTATTTATATTTATGTATGTACATATGTATGCGTTGGCACTGCTAATTGCATTAACGTTTCTTCTTAAACGCGATCAGCATAAAGCATGTTGCTGACTATTTTTCCCAGCCGCTGAATGTATCGCGCATCGCTGCTTAATTTAGTGCGCTGCAAGCGACGGAAACTGTATGCAATATGTATTATGTCCACGGCATTCTTCTCTAGCAATATTTCTATTCACCTTTTTTGTTTTTGTTTTGCTGGTTGCATTCCAGCGCACAGCCAAGTAGTTAAGCGTACGTGTTGTTGCTGCCGCTGTCGTCGTCGCACATAACCTAATTGGTCTCCAGTGTGTCTCCGCCATACTTTATTTGTGAACATACGTAGCTATACACACACAATTCAAGTTTAGTTTTGTTTTTGCAAGGCTAACGGCTTCTCTGCAGTTGAGTGAGAGCGCTTGCGCATTTACTATTGGCAAACATTGCCAAGCAACTCAAATACGAATTATATTTGTACATAAATATGTATGTGTGTGTCTATGGACAATTCTATTGTAGAGCTTATTTTCTCGTTTTTTTCTTTATATTTTTATTAATTCCTTTTATTTGGCTATTATGGCTTATGGCTTTATTTTCGTCGTTGGCCACTAATATGCAATTGATAATCGCACGTAGCGTCTGCACACATACATTATATATTTTTATATCTGCTAAATGCATAATGGTTTTGCTGGCAGCATTAAACTGTATACTTCGTGCACAATGTTACTTGTATTATATGTGGAAAGCTGTA